TCTTTATGAATGACCTTTTTGATTTTTCAAATATGTCACCAAACTATTTCTATAAGCGTTTCTATTAGCACACAATGAAGAAAAAAAGGCAAGGTGTTAACAAAGAGCATGATATTTGGAGGTAAAATAGCTGGTTTCTAGTCATCTCACATGTGTGACTTACCAGCTATGGGCACTGGGACAGAATATGAAACTTTTTGAGCCACAGTTCCTTATTTGAAGAGTATCAATTATCCTACTGAGTTTCTTGAAGGAATTAAATAATAAGGAAAAAGGTTTCCACATAATATTGAAATGTTATTTAAATCTGTGTGATACCACAGCTCCTCTCATCACTTTATGATTGCCATTATCCAAATTTAAGATTTCCCTAAAGGAAATAAATACTATCTTCTGTGTAAGCTTTGTGATTTCAGAGTTCACTGCTTGTAAATCATTTTGTCTAGTTTCTTGATAACTCCATAAACTCCTTCCTTGTCGTAGTCTGTACATGCTGTTTCAAATACTACCCAAATGGGGTGGCTTATGAACTACAATCAGTTATTTTTCACAGTTCTGAGGACTGAGAAACCCACAATCAAGGAATTGGCACTTCAGTGTCTGGATAAGGTCCACTTAAAAGTTCACAGATGGTGCTTTTTTGCAGTCTTCACATGGTGGAAGGAGAATGAGAACTCTCTGATGCCTCTTTTTAAAGGTATGGATTCCATAAAAAGGGCTGTTCCATCAGCGCCTAATCACCTCCCAAAGGTCCAACTTCTTAACACTATTATCTTAAAGATGAGGACTTCAACATATGAATTTTGGGGATAGCAAACATCTGGATTATAGAACTCTCCAAATTGGTTATTTTGCTTTTGCAATTTCCCAAAACTCAACTTTCACCAATTCTACTCTCATGAGCACTCTTTTATTCAAAATCCTACGATCACTTAACATAAACTTGCTAATACTCCTTCCTGAATGAAAATTTCTCCATGATTTGATTCTCTCATATTCATTCACCTGTGCATACCTTCATACAACAAATACTATCATCTATAATAAGTCTGGCTATTTCATAGGCACTGAGATGACTTTACTAAAGCCCTTCTGAATTTATAGCTTCATAGAGCTTAAATCCCATAGAAGATTTCAATGAGAAAAGCAGACTGTACATAAAATAAGTAAAATATAAATTGTGTTGTATTAAGTTTTTCTGAAAAAAGCAGGAAACTGTAATAGGAAGAGGGGATGATCACCTGATTATAGTTGGTCGTAACTGAACGCACTGGGGAAGGGAAACCTGAGGAAAATTTTGAAAGAGGAAAGCTCAGATAACACCTGACTATAGCAAGGACTCTGGTGGTAGGATGGTTGGTGTTCTCCAGCCACATGATCAGAGTGGGCAAGGAAGCACAGGAAGTCATGAGGTCAGAGAAGTAGTAAGAGACGGGAGAAACTATACAGTTCTTTGAGGAGGAGAAGAAGGAGCAGAGGGGGAGAGAATGAAAAGGAAGAGGAAGGAGAGGAAAAAGAGGAAAGGGAGAAAAAGGGGAGGGGTTAGTTTTTCTGTATAGTAAAAAAAATCAGAATGTACTCAGATTGGTTGGTAACTAATTGAAAGGTGTAAGTAGAAAGGTGGTGATATGCAAAGGACTGTATTGTGACAAGATTATTCTGCCTGCTGTGTGGAGACTGGATTGGATTGGGTTGGGTGGGGAAAAGTTAATATATTAAGACCAAAGCAGAACCTATTTAAGAATCTTTTACAATTTTAAAAAATGATGGAGGCTGGAACCATTATGAGTGAAGGCTGCAGTGACAAATGGACAAATTCAGCCATTACACCCCTTTCAGGTGAGGTCACTGTTCTTCTGCATCATCTGTTTCACAGAATACAGAAAGAGGGGCCATCTGATTCTACATCCTCACACTAAAACTAGACTTTTTGACATTTATGTTTTTTCTCCATCTTTTGACTTTGCTGATAAATACTACTCTTGAATGAAGAATTTCTATCAGCCCAAGTTCTGCTATTTGCTGAGAAACTTTAATGCCCGTATAAAGGATAAACCATTAAATAGCTTCTCTTCCCATAGCTCTAGTGACTTATAATGTGTTATCATCTTATTTTGAGTGACTTATTTCCTCAAATCTCCCTCACATATAAAATATTCATTTTCAATATCAAACCTTCACTATTTTCTCTCCGTCCAGCTTCAGGCATCACTGCCAACATCTGATATTCCACTTAATATTCATTCCACGAGTTCCTCCATTTTATTCTAGTCTTTTACCTCATTTTGGACTCATTTATTCATTCTGGATCATAAAGTCTATATAAAACTTTCAGTAATTGAACATTCAGTGAATGTTCAAATGAAACCTTTGAACTCAAACATTTTGGTGAGATTATATTGTCTCACCACATAAATCCAGCCTCACTGAAGAGAAGTTAAAGCTTTCTGAACAAAGTAAAAAGAAAAAAATCTTCAGGGAATACCAACAAAACTTATTCTAGAACAAATCATTCTGAAATCTCATAAAACTTTTGTAAGAGATTTTCATGGCAAGGTTCTGGCCTATAAACACAAGTTGTCAAAGCAGAACTGACCACAAATCAGTCTGTAGTTTGTAAGAAAATAATCAGCACAAATAACCCTGAACCCAGTGTCTAACTTTGGCGGGGCGGGGGGCGGTGCAGGGCAGCATTTGTGTTTACTTTGTGGGTTTTGGTGTCAGCTTTTACAAAAAGAGGTTGATTTTTAATGAAATAAGATGTTTGAGATCTTTTTCATGTTTGACAAATGGAGATAACCTGGCAGAGGTATGTGTGGGGAAAAGAGACAAAGAGGAGCTTATAAGCATGAAGTGTTAAATATTTTAACTAATTTATGAAGGATTTGATTCACTTCACAATGACTAGAAGAACATATGCATACATTATGCATCCTTTTAAAGAAGTTTTTGACCACCAGTAGTTTCCTATTAGATTAATACTATTTCCATTTAGGCTATAGAGCAGCATTTTCTGCAATATAATTCATGAATAAGCAAAAAATATTTGTACAGACTGAAGTAGAATCATTCACACTGGTACTTTACAACGGATTCCTTTCCAAGGTATTTTATTTGATGAAATGAAGCCGCCTTGATTTGACTTGGTCTGATGCTTTAGTAACTAAAGTCTTCAAGTTTTTCTTCTATTCTTCATGTTCTTGTTCTAAGATTACATGGTTGCATGTTTCTTATCCTTACCTTCTCCAACTACTTACGGACGCTTATGGGGCAGGGCTGACAGACTTATCTCTATAGCCAAAAACAAAGTCAACTGTCTAGAATGTATAGGATGCTCAGTTAATTTCCACTGTATGGTGAACCATTACATCCATTTGGGCTTGATGATCCATTTTCATTCAAATTCTACTTTTAATATTTTAGAAAAGGAAAAAAATAAGAAGCCTTGACCATCAAGATCTATACTTATTTTAATTTCATTACAATGTTTTTATCTTACTTTTCAAACACTATAAAAACAAAGATAAAAAGTGCCTATTTCCAAGTTATTTGACAGTAACTCATTTTATTGTCTGTTGAATACCAGGAACATAGACGAATTGGAACCACATCAGGTTCCAGATTATGGGGGAAAAGGGAATAAACCTCATTTGCATGGGTGCCTGAAAGCTCTATAAAAATTTATCTTCTACTAATTAGGTTTGTGATTTTGATAAAGTCAGTCTCAGTTTCTCAATTTAGCAAAGGGAAATAACAGTGGTTTCTAGCTACCAACAGATTTAAATTGGCCAAATAGATTATACTGCAAAAGCGTAAGGAATAATCTAAATTTTTAAAAAAATCTGTCATCAACATATAAGGATTTATCTTGATGTGCATTATATGAGAATAATATTAGGGATCACCACCCAGCCTTTGTTTCTTTTCTCTTTCTTCTCTTCCCTTTCTCTTGCATTCCTTTCCTTTCTCTTTCTTCTTTGTTTTCATTTTCCTTTCATTTCCCTGCCTTTCCTTTCCTTTCTTTTGTTCTTTCTTTTGCAGTACTAAGACTTGAAACCAACACATTAACACTAAGATACATTTCCAGCCTTTTTTATTTTCTATTTGAGACAGGTGTCACTAAGCTCCCTAGACTAGATTCAAACTCGTGATCTTTATGCTTCAGTCTCTCAGAGTATTAGAATTACAAGCATGTGCCACTGTGGTTGGCCTATTTATTTTAGATTAAATACTTAGTGCCATCTGGGAGAGGAAAACTGCTCATTCTAATACAAAACCTATTTGATAATATCTCAAAATGTAAGCAACCCAATACCGACTGTCAACTTTAATTTAATAGTTACAAGAACCTCTCATATCCAAGTAATGTATCTTCTCTCTTTTGGTATTGCAAATGTCTAATATTCAGACATAGTAACACTCAGTGAAGATTGACTGTGCTAAAATTTAGCTTTTGAAAACCTAGATAAAGATAACACATATAATGACTAACATATAGATTATAAACTTTGATTTTTATTTTCAAAGATCAGATTTGTTTGCCTTTGATCATTTAACCTTTACCCATTGTATGGAAATAATAGCAAAGCCTCTATTACAGGATTCTTGACATTATTAAATTTAAGTTCTAGCACAATACATGATACCTGGTAAGCACTAAATTGGTTGTAATTAATGATCAATATGCATGTTTTACGTGCTAAGACTTACATTATTTTATAATTGCTTATTAAGTATGAACTCACAGATTAATCAGAAATGAAAAAAGGGGTGAATTACATGAGATTTCATTCAGAGGTATTAAAGTCATGTTCAATTTTTTTCTATATGCCATCACAAGTATCAAATGAGACCACAGGTCAATCAATGCACTGAGAAGAAAGAAGGCCTATTTTGGCATGAGGTTACCCTCTCTGTGGTCATGGCGCCTCCTCAGCCTGGCAGTTAAAGCACACAATCACACCTTTCTGTTTGCTCCTGTCCTTGTTCATGCTCACCAGGTACAAAGACAGGAGACTGGCCCAGCACAAGTCGGAAATAGAGTGTTTCACCCCCAAAGGGAGTATGGGGAATGGTGGGAGAGCAACAATGAGCAGGTAAGCAAACTGTGAGTGGCTTGAGGTGGTGTGACATGAATGTATGCAAGCTAGAGGAACAGGTGGCTCCCTAGTCTGGGTTCTTGCTCAACTCTTGAGTATCCAATCTCGGGAACTAGTTTTCTGTGTCTGATTTGTAAAACTCATGCCATCCTCATGTATAGTAACGGGAGCCTCCTGTCCCAGATGCTGCTGTCCCTCAGGGTTGTGCGCTTTGCATGTCTGAAGCCTTAGCTAACAGTCAGTCTTCCTTGAGTTTTAACTTATTGGTCTAATGGTTTTGGAGTTTGCAAAGTGAAAGAGATTGGAGGAAATTCACATTTCAGGACTATGCAATAACTTAATAAAACAAATGCAAAAGCTTAGGATTGGTTTTGAGGGAAAGATCGTAATTGAGGGAACACTCCAACCCCTGATGTCAGACAAGCTTGGAAATTAATCTTATTTACTTTGAATGTAACAATGTCTTAGAGCCAAGTGCAAACACCATGCCAAACCAGTGGACTGTAGACACAAGAGACTTTTTTTGAACTGAAATAAGGAAAGCTCATCCTCCTTTAGCTACTGTACCTTTGCAGCTCCTTTACTTTCTTGTGTTGTTGACAAATACTCCCTGTCGCTGTGCTGTGCATGTTCTTTTGTAGTAGGCACTTCCAGCTGAGCTGTTCTCAGTAAATTGGGGTATTAGAATTATAAGCATAAACTGAGCTGTGTTGCATGAAATGAACGTGCTTATTTGCATGGGATTGGGTTTCAACAAAAGGGCTCTGGAGATAAAGGCAATCAGGATTGTCATTAAACAGTTCCAAGACGCTGTATAAGCCTTCAGTTCAGGAATCACTTACCATGAACTACCTTTCCACTTCTAATTTGCTTTAGCATTTCCCAATCCATCTGTGATAGTAGGTGTAGAGGAAAACTGTTGCACATCAGCCTGGATGAGAGAAAGGGAGAGGACCAGAAAGTATTGTGTCCATGCGTGTTTGCATGTGCTGAGAGTACAGCTTGAAATCCAGCTGCGTAACAAAATGATCTCACTAAATTCTGTTACAATTTCACCCCAAAACATGGTGTTTGCTTCCTCAGTGGTGGGCTCCTTATTTTCAAAATAATAAATCAGTTTTTTTCAAGGACCACTACATTGCACAACTATTGGAAGCAATTCACATGGTAGTCTGTGAAAAGGTTCCGAGAACTATGCAGTGCACAGACTGAGCAATGATTAACAGTAGTTCTGGCCAAAAGGCTGTCCAATTTTGTCCACGCTTCCCAAAGAAAAGGCAGTAAGAGAGTGTGTATAAGTGCAGTATATATTCTTAGCCTTTGGCTCACAATCTCTCTGTGCAGTGATCTTTGGATCTCAGTATTTCTAGCTGGGCCTTACTGAACGATTCTGTTTGAGTAACTCAATAGACCACTATTGAGGCTCCTAGTTTCTTTTCACTTATGTTACAAACCGGCCTAATTTCTGTCCTTGCAAATAGAAACAAGATGCACAAGGCAAAAATGACTTCACTAAGTGAGGACTCAGGGAATGTCTCAGATAACTTATGTTTTGAAATCTAAAACCACAACACACGTGACTGCCTATCAAAGATACTGGGAAAACTGTAAGTGTCAGAAGCTAGAAATCTGTTCTATAATAAGTTTCCTAGGTCATTCTAATTTAGTGACTCTATAAACTGGTGTTTTAGAATATTTATCTAGAAATAATATGGATCTGTATATAGTAAGCATTACATCTTAACTATGCCATCCAATGTTCACAAGAATGTTTAATCAATGCTTAGAAACCTCAGATCCAATTAATTCAGACACCAAATTTGCTCAGTGCTGTCTTGACTGAGAATGGGATTGGGGAATACAGACAGGGTGGATCATATGGTATAAATAGACACTAAGTAAAACAACAAGCAAGCTTCCTTGGGTCCGATTCAGATCTAAACAGGAAGCTAACTCAATATATCTGCTCGAGGAATGGTCCAACTTTTTTCTACAGCAGCAAAATTCCATTTAACTTTTGTTTGCTTACTCATTTGAAAATAAAAAGGTAATGTCAAGACTTATGACAATGACAGGTACTGCTGGGGAAGAAGGAAAGAGACACTTGGTGGAAGTAATGATTTAAGCCCCACAAATAAGCAGTCAATTGGGAGCAAATGATCTTTTCTAATTTATTTTTCTTCTCATTTCTTTAGCACTAAAAATCTAATAGAGATAGTTGGGTGGAGTCTTTCTGTTCTCTTATAAAGCTTTCTTTCGGGGAACAGAAAAGTTCTGTAGATATACAAAAAAGGGGGGGTCAAAATTCACAAGGCTTTTGTATATGTTACGCTCTCCAACTTATTTGGTTACATAAATATACCCACATAATAACATTTATCTGGGAGTAACAAGGTTAGAATAAAAATTATTCTATGTCGACAAATTACAGTATGTCGAGGAGATAACTTACATAAAAACAGTTTCTAAGTAAAGGACTTGAGTGGTTAAACACAGTTTTCTTACTCTAGAATTGAAGGGCTGTGGAAAAGATGACTGCATATGTGAGGTGACTGCTGTTACTTTTAGTATCAACTAGTAAGGCTTTCTTTGTAACCCACCTCCTCAGCTCCCCCAGCTGCTTCCCTAGCCAAGCCTTACATTTACTTTGCAAAGATCTGGGCTGGTTCTGTGGCCTTTACTGAACACCCAGTCCCAGAAAACCAAATATTATTCCTTCTCTCATGTATCTAAGTTTCCTGTGGTGAAACTTTAGAATGGACAGGACTCCATAACTGTATGGGATGATTCTCCTAAATCTAGGAGCCACAGAAGAGAAGAAAAGTTGTGAACTGTTAGTTCCAACACCGTCAGAGCCTTAAGATGCTCCCTTCCTTGCGCCCTCCTCAACGAATCCCCTCATTTGCAAAGAAATGAGAACTTTGTATGTACTTACAACACTCCAGCCTCCTAAAATAATTGGTTGCAATTTTCCTATTTTTCTTTCCAAATATAACATGTTGTCTTTTTGTGCATTCCAAGTGGAAAATCTAAAGTATTTTTCAGGGTTCAATCTGATTGCAGGAAAACTGAAAGACAGTCCTAGATAAGGAAGTGCTGAAAGAACTAGAAATTATTTAAACTCTGTTACTATGTCAATTCATACCCAGGAGCCCCCATCCTCAGGAATGAGGATAACCTCTATATGGTTATGACTAACTCCAGCCTCATCAGCAGGAGTGTTCCATCGGAGTACTTGTTGGAGTCTGCAATCTAATGTGCTCATGTTGAGCTCCACAAGGAAAAATCTTACACTTTCCGCACTTCCCACTCTCTCTCTTTTAAAAAGGGGTTCTTTATTCACGAAAAACTGACAGATCAATAGATTCCTACCAGTGTGAGAAAAAAGGAAGGTGATAAGGAGTTAATTTATGACGAATAAAAAGAAAATGTTACTGTTATTATTTCATGATACCAGTGTATGAAACATTAATTTCGAGTAACTGATTTTTACCAAGTATATACCATACCTAATTTTAGTGGGTGAAAATATTTAATGAAGTTTTACAAAATCTAGTGACAGTGATATCATAATAGTATCTGTAAAACTTATAGGCTCTAAGGCTGGAAATTTTAGTGGGTGAAAATATTTAATGAAGTTTTACAAAATCTAGTGACAGTGATATAATAGTATCTGTAAAACTTATAGGCTCTAAGGCTGGAAAGGTAGACCCAAAGATGATGTCTGAATTAAAACAGTTTTGCTTTTCATCCATTTTTCCTTTATCACAAGCCTATTTATGAGCCAAAAATCCTATGTAGATAAATAAATCAGCCAAGATTAGGGGCCTTGAATATCTGTAGTGTATGAGGGAACAAAGTCAGAAAAACTAATAAATGCAACATTAATATGAAACTCCTCTCTACATGACAATATATCTCATATAATCAACTAGTTTAGAGCAAGGGGAATTATGCATTGCAAACGTGTACTAATAAAAAATAAAAACTGAAAAAAGAATAAATTGAAGAGTAATTAAAAGCAAATAATAACAAGCCTAAGTTAAGTCTTCAGAGATAATAGGCACATAAAGGTTTAAAACTCAAGGTCTAAAAAAAGAAATAGACTGTACTTTTCTATTATAGTAAAAGCCAGCTAGTTGCTTAGCAATAGATTAGTAATTTTGCAGTAGTATTCTCTTACCTCTCTCCAAAGTAAACTTCAGATTAATTTTTATTTTTATATTTAGAGATCTAAAAACTTATAATGATAACAATGATTACCATTACTACTATACATATTCAAGACACAGTATTTATTGTTTCTTTATACAAATTATGCATTAAGTTTTCACAAGAGCATATTCTATGGTTCATATGAGAAAAAATGTGGTTCAAAAATATCAAATAATTAAAGTGTTAAGAGTAATTTCATGAAATGTCTAAAATTAAAGGGAACTTAAAATCTAATTCAGGTATCAGCCAGAGTAGGATCAGTTCAACTCCATAATCAACATTTTCTGTGAAATGAAGACTATATAACACTTTCTTTTACTATAGTGCTGTGAAAATTAAATGGACTATGCAAGTACAGAACTAAGGATATTCCCTGACCAAGTGCAGAAGATATTCCATGAGAGCGTGCAAATGACAACAAAGCCAACACTATAAATTATAAACTTTTTACAGATTCTCAATGAATGCTTACATCATAAAATCTCAAGAAACCCTACAGAAATTAGTTTTATCTTAATTTATTTAACATTGAACCTACTTATTTATGAGCCATCTGTTCTATTTGCTATACCATTAGCCAATTAATTTTATAAAATATATCGATCAAAAAGAAAAGATCAAAATCATGTGTTCTGAGTAACATACCAATCCTCAAAATCTTAAAACAACTTCCCAGGGAAACCTTTTAAAAGAGCTGCACATTTTCACGATAGCTAATGTTTGGTGGTTAGAACAGAAATCACTAACTTTATTAAGGACCATAAATATAAACCAAGTTCCAA